TTTTTTTTTAAAGTATGTACTTTAGGGTATAAGCTATGCTATTATAACAGAGAGAGATCCCCAAATAAAAAAAGGCTGAAATGAGGTATCATCTTTCTCTCTCTCAGAACAGTCCAGAGGGAGGTATGTTCCAGGGTGAGTGTTATTCCAGTTACCTGTCACTGCATAAAACAGCAATCACTGCTTTTTTGCTCATGGATCCTGTGGGTCAGGAATTTAGACAGGGCATAGTCTGGATAACTTGACTGTGCTCTGTGATGCCAAGAGGCCGTGGCTGGGAAGACTTGAATAGCTGGCAGTAACTCCCATGGCTGGGGCTGGAGTCATCTGGAGGTTTCTGTGCCTCTGTGTGCCTGAGCTGGAATGACAAGAAGGTTTGTCATTCCAGTGAGGACTGTTTATCCGAGTATCTACCTGTGACGACTCCATGTAATTAGGGTTTCCATACAGCATGGTAGCCTCAGGGTAGTTGAACTTTTTGCTCTAAGAGTGAGTGTTTCCGTAAGTAAGGCCAAAGCATATGTCTTTTTACGACATGTTCTCAGAAATTATATAGTGTCACTTTTGCTCTATCTATATATATATCTATCATCTATCTATCTAGCTATGTGGTCAAGCCAGCCACAAGCCTACGTATATTTAAGGGGAGAGAACAGAGACCCCCACCTCTCGATGTGAGGATTGCTAAAGGATGGGCGATCAAGTTTTTAAACCATTACAGGTTGGAAGCTCCGTCATAGGAGGTCATGTGGGATCCTTGTTGGTTTGGCGAGGGAAGGCACAGTGGGCTTTGCTATTTGTATCATGTAGCTTTCATCTCTGGTTTCAATGTAACGGGACCCGTAGCTGCCATATGCCAGCCAGGGGAAGGGGGAGTGGAGGCCAAGCAGTCCCTTATAAAAATGTAATTCAGAACTACACATCACTTCTGTCCACCTCCCACTGGCGAACTCTTAGTCAGACTGCTACCTCTAGCTGCAAGGGAGGCTGAGAAATGTAGTCTGTAGGCCACATGTCTAGCTATAGGTCTGTGGGGTCCTTTTGGTAAAACGCAGCAAAGGAGAATAAATATTAGGGACAATTAGTGTTTGCAAGTGTGTTTTTCACATATATGTCTATATATTTATGTGTATATATAGAAATAGGTCTATATAAAATATAGAAATATGTAGATACATAGAACAGTCTGGAAGAATACATAGGAAAAGGTCTAGAAGCAACTGGCAACTGTGGTTACTTCTGGGGATGGGGGAGAAGGACAGGGATGTGTTCAAAGCTGACTCCAGCCATAACTGTTGTGTTTTAATGTTTTATAAGGATAATGTCTTCCCATTTTACTTTGAAATTAAATATTAATTCAAGCTGAAGAGGGCCTGGTAAGCATCTGGCTGCTGATGTTGCAGTCTTGGTCTTATCTCCCCGTGGTGGCACCCAACCCCAAAGAGTGCCATGGAGGTCACATGGCTCTTATCTTCCAGGAGCCGCAGCTGATGTTGCCCGGACACTCAGTCCAACGGCCCCACCTTCTTGAGGACCGTAGTCAGGGGGTCTCTGCCCCCGTCCTCCCCATGGAGACCCCCTGACTAGACTGCAGTAGATATTGGTTGTAAGTGGATGGCTGTTTTGGGACTGAAGAATTCAAAAGTGATTAAAACACAGCCTGTCTCTCTACAGATCGCTCATTATTAACTACAGATAGAAAGCTGGTCGCTGTGCAACGGGGAAAGCAGGTGGCACCGCCTCCTCTAAGCAGTTAGCGTTAACATCACGGACACTGTGTCCCTCCGGATGGGAGACGCTGAGGACACAGTGTCACTTTAGTGGCATTCTTGCTCCAACAGCATAACCCAGGTCCAATCATGAAGAAACAACAGACCAACCCAGGCGGAGGGACATGCCCCAAAACTAGACTCAACTCCTTAAAAAATGTGGATGTCACGAAAGACAGAGAAAGGCTGAGGAGCTGTGCTAGACTAAAGGAGGCTAACGATGCAAGCATTAGTACAAGGCAGGAGCCTGAGTCGGGTCCGGGATCTGGGGGGACATTGCCATCAATGGACAGTTAGCAAGATGTGAGGTCATGGTATTGTGTGGGATCAAGGTTGCATTGTCTGAATTTGGTCATTGTACTGTGGATGTCAGAGAATGTCATCATTCTTAGGAAATGCACAACGAAGGATTGCGGAGTAAAGAGCATGTTGTCTATCTATAGCTAACTCCCAAATGGTTTAGAAAAGGAGGAGGCAGACTTTTTTTTGGCACAAAAGCCAAATAGTGAGGACTCTAGGCTCTGCAGGCCATATGGTCTTTGTCATAACTACTCACTCTGCTGTTGTAGTTTCCAGAGAGGCCCCAGACAATATGCAAATGAACGGGTGTGGCTGGGCTCTATTATGGCTACTGAAATTTCAAATTTCGTATACTTTCATGTCACAAACTATTCTTCTGATTTGTTTCAACCAAGGAAAAACCATTGTTAACTTACTGCCCGCACAAAAATCTGGATTTGGCTGGATTTGGCCCGTGGGCTATAAATTCCTGTTGCCTGATATCGAAAAAGAACACACACACACACACACACACACACACACACACACACACACGGCGAGGGTGGCGGTGGTGGTGGTGGTGGTGGTGGTGCGTAAAGCAAATATGGAAAGATGGTGTAATGCTAACAGTTGGTGAATCTGGGTGAAGGGTAGAGGGGAGTTCTTTCTACTCTTCTTAGAATGCTTCTGCAAGTGTGAAATTATTTAAAGATAAAAAGTTAAATAAAATAGCAATGGGATTTTCCTCTCTGGGAGGCCAGCAAGGAGCAACGGTATGATACTGTTTGAATCTGAGGGACTGAGCCCTCTCGTCTGGGAGCCAAGGGAGACTTGCTCACCGCGTGCTTCAGTGTTCCCCCTAATTGCTATCTACTCATTTCATTTTCTTCACTTCTCCCTTATCTGCTGGCTTACCCTGCATATTTAGGGACCTTGCTTGGCAGGCATGAATGAGAATTTAGGCTCTGTCCTCACTGTTGGACCATCTCCTTTTTCTCTCCCTCTACTAAATACAGTTCTCCTCCAGCCACTTAAATGTGTTCATTGGATTATTGTATTTAATTTCATGGCTCCCGTCCCTCACATTGGTTTCTCCAAATGGTTAGTATTTGTCTTAGGTGATCAGATTAGAGGCAAGGGCTTGATTCCCGGCACATGGCACTATTTGGGGGAGGTGCATTGTTGTGGCAGCAATGCCGAGAAGTTACTGTGTTCCTTTCTCCCAGCTTTGGGGCAAAGTCTCTTGTATTTCTTGTGGCCCTGACTGGTTATTTCCAGGAATGAGGTATTGAGTTAATTGGAGCGACTGTGCCCGGGGTAGGCAGGGTTGGCTGTAAGGGAAGGGGTATGACCTTTCCTTAGTTGATGTGGTAAGAACTCTCTTCATTGCCAGGATCAGAAACCCAACTCAGACCAGCCTCACTGAAAAGGAATTTATGAATTCATATAACCAAGAGTATTGAATAGCATTACACTCAGACCTGGTTAGATCCAAGGGCTGAAATGAGGCTATGAGAATTCTGTCTCTCACCATGTCTCAGGTCTGTTTTCCTGTTTGGCTTTATTCTTAGGCAGGCTCTCCCCACCCAGCAACCCCATGTGTACATGCTATCAGATGAGCAAACCCAGGAGAAAGAGGGCATCTCTACACCAGTTCTTCCAGCAGGGTCCCAGGGCTGACTCTCAGTGGCCCATTTAAGCCTTGTGTCCATGTTTGAACCAGTTGCCAAGGGATTGGAAGATACTGATTGGTCAGGCCTGGATCACATGACTACTCTTGGAATGAGGACTGTCAGCTCTACTGGAACCATCTGGACTAAGAATTGACAAGAAGTGGCCCTTCAAAGTCAGACCTAGTTGCTGTTACCATTAGGAAGGAAGGGACTTGGGCAAGAAAGAAAACAGTAATTCCTTATTACACAAGGGCTGTGCTGTGCACCTTCCCCAATTCCAGTCCCAGTTTTCTAAGCCACAGATTTGATAGTTGTACTTGTATCGTCCTAGCTGTCAAATTGTGAGCTCTGCAATCATGTCCCCTGACACAAACAATGACAAATGACCTGTTGGTGTTCTCCTCTACGCCCTGCCCGGGCTGCTCCATCCCTCAGGAAACGCACAGGATCTACAGGCAGAAGTTGGAGGAGCTGACTGCGCTCCAGACTTTGTGTAGCAGCTCCATCAGCAAGCATAAGACGCGACTGAAGGACCTGAAGCGCACGCTCCAGAGGTAGGCGGGGCTGCGATTCAAAGCTCCCCTGGTTCTAAGGGTCAGAAACCCAGCTCAACACTGGCTTGAGCAGAGAATGGAAAATTTTAAAAAAAAAATTTTTTTTTATTGATTTCAGAGAAGAAGGGAGAGGGAAAGAGAGATAGAAACATCAATGATGAGAGACAATCATTGATCAGCTGCCTCCTGCATGCCCCACACTGAGGATCAAGCCTGGGTCATGTGCCCTGACCAGGAATTGAACTGTGACCTCCTGGTTCATAGGTAGATGCCCAATCACTGAGCCATGCCAGCCAGACAGAGAATAGAAATTTTAATGGAAAAAACCCAGAAGTGGCTTTAGGATCCAGGGGTCAAAGGATGTTTTTAGGAATCTGTTTTTTTCCTCTAAATTCTGCATTTCCCTAGATTGGCTTCACTCTATGACTAACCATCCATCCTCTCATGGTCACTGAGATGGCCACCAGCAGTGCCAGGCTCATATCCTGCAGCCTTTCTTCCTACTGGCTTGGGCACCCCAGCCTAAGGAGAACTTGTCTTTTAGCACAAGTTCTGGGAGCAGTTCTCATTGCCTGGAATTGGTCATGTGCCCATTCTTTGAACCAATCAAATCACCAAGACTGGTTAGGCAAGACTTGGTCATATGCTTAGTTTATGGACCTTGGGAATGGGGCAGCCCTACTTAAACCACATGGAGGGGGAAGAGGATGACAGGTAGTTCCCCAGAGGAAAACTGTTATAAGAAGTCCTGCTGGGCAGGTAAACATTAACTACACTTCTCAGGCCCGTGGGGGCTCCCTACACCAGGCTGTCTGATGTAGGGGGTAAGAGGTCTGGCTTCCCTGGTGGAGATACACTTGAGCTCATCACTGAGGTCAGGAGGCCAGGATTACATGTTCCGTTTCCAGTCCTTGTGTCTTTCTGGTTTCGGAAGTGCTCTCATCCCCCGTAGGCGAACAGGTCCAGTGGATGCTGTGATCCCTCAGTCGGGCAGACATCTGAGGCTCTGAATGGCTTGTCCCAGGTCACTTACATGGGCTTCTATTCCAGAGTGTGTGGCTCGGGGTCACTTTTTCCCTTCCCTCGTGGACAATTTTTGGGAAGGTTATTGATTGTACCCCTAGCCTTAGCTGACCATTTGGGAAACGGAGGCCCATTAGTCGTGGGGTAAAGTGTCAATGGTTTAATGCAGTGACATCGCCACTCTTGGAAAAGCACATCTTACCGATGGCAGGACTTCAGAGTCTCTTACATCTGCCGAGGGTTTTTCAGCCTTGGCACGAACGATAATTCTCGGCTGTCGGGGGCTGCCCTGTGCGTTATAGAATGTTTAGCAGCATTGCTGGCCTCTGCCCACAGATGCCAGTAACACCCTCCACTCGGTCTTGACAACCAAAAAGTTCCAGACATGGCCACTGAGAACCACTGGGTAGAAGGTTGGCCCCTGACTTAGGTTCTTACACTGAAGACAACCCCTGCTCCCAGAATGTCTGTGACTTGTTTTTCTAGTCTTGAAAGACTAATAATTAGACCTTGATTAGTTTACTGTTTATGCTGTTTTCTTTTTTTATTTTATTTTTATTGTTGACACTACTATAGATGTCCCCATTCCCCGCCCTACCCTTTGCCCACCTCTACCCAGCCCCCTGACTGCTTATACTTTTATTTTTATTATTTTTTATTTAAAAATATTTTTATTGATTTCAGTGAGGAAGGGAAAGGGAGAGAGAGTTAGAAACATCAATGATGAGAGAGAATCATTAATCGGCTGCCTCCTGCACGTGCCCCACTGGGGGTCGAGCCCGAAACCGGGCATGTGCCCTGACTGGGAATCAAACCGTGACCTCCTGGTTTATAGGTCGAAGCTCAACCACTGAGCAACGCTGGCCAGGCTGCTTATTCTTTTAAAGTGCCATCCTGTCTCCCTCTTAGTAATCTTCAGCTTATTCCTGTAGAATAGCGAGCAGAGCCCCAGTCCCTTTGTGTCCCAGCTTAGTTTGCAAAAGACATTGACATATAATAATTCTTCTCTATTGTAAGCTTTCCATTTAGTTTACTCCCCATGATTAAATCAAAGTCATTTGGAAAAAAAGAATAGTGAGAGGAATAATATTGCTAGTAGTTTTCCACTGTGCTAAATACTTTAAATTGCATTTACTCATTTTCTTGTCGCAGTGGTATTTCCAGAAGGTCGTCTTGATATTATTCCTATTTTTTTAAATAAGGAAAATAAGGCAGAGAGGTTAAAAGACATTCACAAGGTCACAAGGCTTAGCAGGGAGCTTGCATCAAACCCAGGGAATACAGGTGGAGATTGAGATTGCGAGAAACATTGAGAGGGAAGAGTGGGAGGGCAGTGGCCAGAGCTTCCAGGTTTTTCTCCAGGCTGGTAACGCCCCTGCTTCTTCTATGCCCACACCTCTGACCGCAGGTACAAGCGCCGTGCCAGTCTGGAGGAGGCGGAGCTGGTTCAGCAGATAGATGTCACCATCAAGGAGCGGCAGAACATCTTCTTTGACATGGAGGCCTACCTGCCCAAGAAGAATGGGTAGGAGCTGGGAACTTACACACCCCACTGCCCACCCCCTGCTGGGGCAGACACCCAGGTCTAGGATACCTGATCTGCATAATTCTCACCTTCCCATTAGGGCTTGAGGTTGAGGGGGAAAGACAGAAGTGAGGGCAGGAAAGAGAAGGAGGCTTCCTCACATGTTTCTCCATGGACACTCTGGGTCAGGCACTGACTGGGCGGGACTGGGAGGGAGCCTTCTGGGGCTGGAAGTGTTTTATTCTTTGATCTGGGTGTTGGTTGCAGGGATGCATAAATATGTACAAATCTATCACGTTGTATACTTAAGACTTGTGTACTTTTTTAAAAATTGAGTTTTAGAAAAAGAGAAGAAGGGAGAGGGAGAAAGAAGCACCAATTTGCTGTTCCACTTATTTATGCATTCATTGGTTGATTCTTATAAAAAATGCGCCCTGATGGGTTTTGAACCTGCAACCTTGGTGTGTCTGGTCAATGCTCTAACCAATGGAGCTACTTAGCCAGAGCAAGACTTATGTACTTTTGAAGGTTATGCCTTCATTTTAAAAAGAGCCTGCTTTAAATTGACCTAGATATTGTACATATACCTTCACCTCATTGGCTGGCGCTTAGTCACATGCTCACATTAGCTGCAAAGGAAGCTGGGAAATATGGGGAGGAAAACGGGTCATTCATGACTGTCAAGTGTCACAGTCCTCCCATTCTCTAGTTAATCGTTATTAGAACTCGATGTGAGGCCCATTGTACTGCTGAGTTTAGCATCGTATGTTCTGTGTTGGCTTTTCAGTGCATGCCTATTACGTTTGAATATTTTTGGTTGGGGCTGCCCCCAGGGCTGTTAGGGACGTGGCGACTTCACAGGTCTTTCCTTCCAGGCTCTACTTGAATCTGGTCCTCGGCAACGTGAGCGTGACCCTCCTCAGCAACCAGGCCAAGTAAGTGTCCCAGACGCCCACCCACTGGCTTTACAGAACCCAGGCATTGTGCTTTCAATTCAGGGGAGGTGGGACCAAGCTAGAACTTCTGCGTAAAGGAAAAAACTTTAACAGGTGGTGCTCTGGCTCTTGGTCTCTCTGACTAAGCCCCTGGGAAAGGCTTCCTTCATGGGTTCCATATGTTGGGTGGACAGGACCGCCAGTTTCCCGTGAGAAATGGCTCTGCTCCATTCCTCGTCTCGTCTCATACACTTTTCTCCTGGGAAGCAGACAGTTGTGTCCAGCCACAATCTGTCAAGTTTCTAGGGAGGTGGAGCCGTGGCGTTTTGGGGGAGGGGACCCTGTCTCGCTCCCTAATTGACGTCACAATTCATTTAAGGTCCAGTCTCTCCTTTAGTGGGATCACAAGGTCCTAATGGGGTGTGGTTGGCAGTATGTCAAGGATCCAATGGGGCAAGGGTCCTGCCCCCAATGGGATGTAGTTATACTACCATAAATGTAGTAACAGTCACGCGACCTTTCCCGGGCATGTCTGTTGCCGTAGATTTGCCTACAAGGACGAGTATGAGAAGTTCAAGCTCTACCTGACCATCATCCTGCTCCTGGGGGCTGTGGCCTGTCAATTTGTCCTTCACTACAGGTAAGGCAGCGTGGCAGTGGGGGACATGCTGGGGTGAGAGGGGACTGTGAGGGAGGGATCCAGGGTCCCTCCTGCATCCACCGTGTTTGTGTGATGAGGTGTCGATAGAGAAGGGCCGTTTCTCATGAGAAATAGCAGTCCTGTTCGCCGTAATCCCTCCAATAATATCTACTAAAGGGCTGCTGCAGAGGCCTCGAGTGCAGTCAGGAAAAAGCCCAGTTTGGCCATGTTCGCACAATGGAATAGTATTTGGCCGTAAAAGGAAATGACGTTCTGACACAGGCTACAGCACAGATGAATCTGGGAAACATTACAGGGTGAGGCAAAAGTGGGTTTACAGTTGTGAGTATGTGAAACACAGAGTTTATTCTCGTATTGTTGTTTATTAATGATGGTGTTATTTTCCATAAGAAAACTGTAAACCTCCGTTTGTATGTTAAGTGAAAGAAGCTGGTCACAAAAGGTCACATAGCGTATGATTCCATTTATGTGAAATGTTGAGAACAGGTAAATCCATAGAGACTGACAATAGATTAGTGGATGCCAGCGGTTGGCGGGGGCAGGGAATGGGAAGGGACTGCAGATGGGTATGGGTTTCTTTGGGAGTGATGAGAATGTTCTGGAATTAGGTAGTAGTGATGGATGCACAACATTGTGAATACACACACACACACACAAACACCAAATGTATACTTTAAAAGGGTGAATTTTATGGTATGTGAGTTATATATCTCAATTACAAAAAGAAAGAGGGAGGAAGGGAACAAAAAGCAAGGAAAGAAAGAGAGAGGGAATAGGTCACAGAGAACCTTGGTTTGCTCGTGGCTTTGAGACTAATTGGCTGTTACCATAGGCAGGTTCCCTCTGGGGGCCTCCATGTCCCCATCTGTAAAACGAGGGTGACACCAGTGCCCACCTCACAGGGTTCTCACGTGTTAACACTGTACGTGGAGGGCTCTGTCCAGCATGTGCCACCCAGCAGTGCATTGAGGACAAGGCCAGGGGCTGAAGCCACACTGCCCCAGGGGGTTTCATGTCTCCATGTGGTTTTCTGCCCCAGGGGAGGCGGCCAAGCACAGCTTGGGCATTTGGCCCAGGTGTTAAGGGTTTATTTCCTAGCAGACGCTTGGCTGGGAGTCCACTTGCTGGTCTGGCCACTTGAATGTCCAAAACAAAGGCTCATTTAGGCCCTGGACCCGTGCCTGCCTTGCTGCCTTGGGCCTGGCCCGTTTCCCTGGAGGGCAAAGGCTGCACCCATCAGTAATGCCAGCTCACATGCCCCTCTGGAAGGGGGTGAAAGTTCTCAATGAGCAACCAGATTCCTGTGCTGGGACCTCTGGGCCCTCAGAGGGCAGACCTGTGGTGTGTTGTGCAGTCAGTTCCAGGGCTCACTGAGGGCCTGGATGTTCCCACTGCTCCCCACCCCGTTCTGTCTTCCTTTCCAAGGGGTGTCGTAACAAGCACCACAAGCTGGTGCCTCGAAACAACAGAAACAGATCCTCTCCAGTCTGGAGGCCACAAGCCTGAAATGAGGTGTGGGTGGGACGGTGCTCCCTCTGCAGGCTGAGTGCTTCCTTGCTTTTCCAGCTCCTGGTGGTCGCTGGCCACCTTTCGTGTTCCGTGGCTTAAAGCTGTTTCACTCCGGTCTCTGCCTCACGTGCCTCAGTCTTGCCAGGTGGCCTCCTTCCCTGTGTTTTTATGAGTCTCTCTCATGACCTTCTTAGGAGGATACCAGTCCTTGGATTTAGGGCCCACCCTAACCCAGTGTGACCTCCTCTTAACTAATTACATTTACAAGGATCCAATTTCCAAATAAGGTCATATTCTGAGGTCCTGATGCTTAACCTTTGGCAAATAACTTAACCTTGCCCTGCTTTGGGAGGATAACAGGTCTTGCTGGCATGACTCAGTGGTTGAGCATCGACCTATGAACCAGGAGGTCACGGTTTGATTCCCGGTCAGGACATATGCCCTGGTTGGAGGCTCGATCCCCAGTGTGGGGCGTGCAGGAGGCAGCCAATCAATGATTCTCTCTCATCATTGATGTTTCTATTTCTCTCTCCCTCTCCCCTCCTCTCTGAAATCAATAAAAATATATATTTTTAAAAAGACAAAGTCCCATCAGCAGATGAGTAGATTAAAAAACTGTGGTACATTTGCACAATGGAATTCTACGCCGCTATAAAAAAGAAGGAACTTTTACCATTTGCAACAGCATGGATGGCACTGGAGAGCATTGTGCTAAGCGAAATAAGCCAGTCGGAGAAAGATAAATATCACATGATCTCACTCATATGTGGGATATAATGATCAACATAATTTGATGAACAAGAATAGATCCAGAGACAAATGGTAGGGAAAGCGGGGGAGGTTAGAGAGCAACCTAAGGACTTGTATGCATGCATATGACTGGGGGAGGGGTGTCAATTGGGGAAAAAGGAGACATATATAAAACTGTAGACAGTAAAAAAAAAATGTTTTTTTTAAAGTGAGGAAAAGGGGAGCTACCCAGCAGCACGGTGGTGAGGATGAGATGAGGTACACCTATGGCATTCAGATGTGACCTGGCACACAAGCAGTCGTTATGGCCACCGTTATTTCCCGCTACGCTGGGCAGGCAGGGAAAAGATCACAGCCTAATGTCCTGAGCATCCTGGGAGCAGGAGTTTCTTTCCTTACTCTGCCCCCTTCAGATCATTTCCTTGCTGGGTGCCCCACCCACAGGTTGTTGTGGGCTGGGTGGTCAGGGAAGGAGGGAAACCTCAGCTAGAGCCTTAAGGGCAGGTAGGATTCAGGTGGGAAGGTGAGGAGGGGGCATGAGCATTCTAGGGGGAGAGACACCTAAGGGGCAGACCCCCTCTGCCTTCCCGGGCATCCGGGGGTTCTGGAGGCCCCCTGTGTGAGCAGCCCTTGGCCTGGTTCTCTGTTCCGTTGCAGTGGGGCTGGGACAGCCGTCCCTGGTTCTCATGCCTGCTCCCCTCCGGGGGCTGTTTCTCCCCACAGGGTAACGGACGAAGTCTTTAACTTCCTACTGGTGTGGTATTACTGCACCCTGACGATTCGGGAGAGTATTCTTATCAGCAACGGCTCGAGGTAATTGGGGGCCCAGCTTTATGGGGGGCGTAGCGGCAGCCAAAGGGAACTCTGTCATGGAAGAGGCAGGTGAGGGCTGCTACCCTCAGCTGCATTCCCTTCCTCCTCGGGGAGCCGTGACATTTCACACACAGGAAGGAGGAAAACCGTGCCTGCTACTGCAGCAGCCTCGCTTGCCATGGTCAGTCTCGTGTTTACAAGAAACCCTAACTCAATATAACAGGACATTATTTTCTCATATTAAGAAACAGGTCCTTGGGGGCTGACGCAGGTAAAGGCTTAATCCAGGTGCTCAGTGTCATCAGGATCCGCTTTCTCTCTGTCTCTCACCTCTGCCTTCTTGTGATGTCTATTCTCAGGTTCTAGGTAGAGTTATCAGTTCCAAGCTCACGTCTTTATTTTTAGCATTCCCAGCAAAATAGGGCACATTCCTCTCTCGCAAGGTGTCTCACTGGGTCCTCTTGGTGTTCATTAGATCATGTGCCAATCACTGTAGCCAGAGAATGCACTTCTCTGATTGGCTGGGCTTGAGCCTCCTGCCCACCCCTCTAGCTGTCATTGGAAACCTAGAAGCTGAGTGTCAGGAGGGCCTGGTTCCCCACAGGAAAATTGGGATGAGGTCACTAGATGAGTGGATGAGCGGATTCTGGTGACAAGAGGGATGGTCCCCCACAGGGAGAGGAGTCTCAGGACTCTGTTGAGATCCATGGCTTGCCTTCCCCCTTCAGGACCTACTTTCCACAGTTATGATTCCTTTTTGGGGTGGCCATTTGAACCTCTGCACACCATTCTTGTCCCTATCATTTCCCAAAACACGAAGGAACAACTTTCCAAACCCTTCCTCCTTCCTCCCTCCCAGGGGCTATAAAGAACAACCAGGAGCATGTATTTAATCCAAACCCTCAAATAATTTGCCACCTTCTCACTTTTCTGCCCAGTGGTCTCTAAGCAGGGCCTTACTCTGGACATAGAGCCATGAGGTAAGGACAGAGGAACGGCGGTTCCTAAGTACACAGCCCTGTAGCATGTAGCCTGTTAGAAAAGATCAGTGTTTCTCAAACTGCACTCATTCCTGTCCCATCCACGCCATTTTTGCCATGTCCTTGTATCACCTAGATGATCATTTCCCCACATTTTATTTTTTATTACATTTTTAAATTTTAAAAAATTGCTTTTTAGAGAGAGAGGAAGGGAGAGGGAGAGAGAGAGAGAAGCAACAATTTGAGAGTGAAACATCGATCAGCTGCCTCCTGCACACCCCCCACCAGGGATTGAGCGCAGATCCCAGCATGTGCCCTGACCAGGAATCGAACCTGCAACCTTTCGTGCGCTAGACGACGCCTAACCAACTGAACCACACCGGTCAGGGCATCATTTTTCCCACATTCTAAATCAGCCGTCTCCTTTTTTTTTTTTACTTAAATAAATATTTGTTTTAAAAGGAAGCTTTATTTCACCACTTTACATGGAAAACCAGCATCAATTACAGGAAAGAGGAAGTAGTATAAAAATATCTTTTTGTTTTCATTGTCTAATTTATTGAAGGCTCTGGGCTTGAGGCTTGTGTTTTTCCTTATGTGTGTTTGTTCATGTGCAGAAAGGGAGACGAATGGATGTAGAGACGCATTTAAGATATACTAGCATCTAACCAAGACCATCTCCTCGACTTAATCAGGAGAACGGAAAGAGATATAATTCAGTATCATCTGGTGCAAGCATGAGTTTGACATGCTTGATCTAGTGTTACACTCAAATGTCATCTACAACTCAGTGATACACACCCCATGCTTTGAGAAACACCGAAGTAGAAAATCTTACCCAATAAATAACATTCATAGTTTGCCTGAATTTTGGTGAATAGTGGCTTTCTGCTTTTAGGTCTGGTTGGAGGGGAGCCAGGGTAGCATTTAGTGGGGAAACGGACCAGGGCATTTGGCAGGGCTTCCTGGTTACTAATGATCTTCCTGTGCCGTCAGTCTTGGAGTCTCACCCTCCTGATGGACTCAGAGTAAGAGTGTTCGGGGCATGCTGTGTCTCTGATGGTCACTAACACTTTAGTAAGTTACTCTGGTCAGCTCTTTTTCTAGGGTGGTAAGCCATGGATGGGAGCAGGACTGAGGGGAGGTCCCTGCACATGTGGGGCACACCAGGAAAATCGGAGGGGACAAAAGGAGGAAGTGGGTTCCAAAGCCAAGCCTAAATATTTGCCTAACGCTTTTAGCTGGGGCTTTTCCAGGGCTTCTCTGGAATGCGTGCTCTGATGGGACAGCAGGAAGTGTTGTCTCTGAGCTTGTAATGCAAAGCTTTGCATGTGGGGCCGCTCTGCCCCCTCACACTTGGCCCTTGAGGGAAAAGCTAAGAAACCAGTAAGAGAGCACAGTGAGGAGGAGAAAGGGGTGAGCTCTACCTTTCTCACCTCTGAAGCATCCCAGGGTCAGCTCAGGCGCTCAGCGTTGCTGCCCCATAAATGCCCCATGGTCTTTGTGGAAATGAATTCAACCCCAGCTCTGTGATGAGGCAGGGTCCGTGGGGCCTTACCGTGTTCTGAGGACAGGTGGAGCTGAGCCATATGGCTTCCTGGAGACTTGGTGCCCAGTTTTGGTGTGACTGAGCCTCTGTCATCTTGTTCCCTGTTGCACTTGGGACCTGAATTAGAGGTACGGTCAGGGAAGCAGGCCTAGAGAGGTGGGGGACTCCCCCCTCGTGGGACGGAGCCACCCTTGCTTTGTGTCTGATGCCTCCCATGTGAGAAGTAACTCATTAGCTTAGTTAGTGCGATAAGCAAGTCAGCTTCCCTTGCAGATTTGCAAATGATTGAAAACCACCTGATAGGAGTAACATGAAGGGGATTTATGGGAGCATATAAATAGTTCAAGGAGGTAAAAAGGGTTCAATGTTAACAGTCCCTCCTCCTTCTCCTTATTCTGTTGTCCCCTGCTCTGGTTCCCAGCAGCCGGGGTCAGCATCCTACTGGATCAGCAACCCCAGAGTCCCTTTCCTTCGCAGATCTAGCTGTAATCTTGAGACAGACTCCTGATTGGCTAGGCACAGGTCACATGCTCATCCCTGAGCCAATCACTGTGGCTGGCTCTAGGTCATGTGCCCAGTTATATTATTCAGCTGCACCCAAGCATCCTGACTGGGAGTGGCCGTGAATAGGTTCCCTGAAAGAAAGCTGAAGCCTGGAACCGAAATGGGGGTGATTGACAGACAGGCAAAACAGCAGATGTCTCCTGCAGTTAGTTCTGGGCCAGAACAAACAATGAATCAGGGATCATATTCATTTTTCTGGCTAGCCAGCCTTGGGCACCTGGCTCTAACAAGCTTTTAAGACATAGTGGTAGCTGGCAACGGAGGGAGCCTCAATGTAGAAGCCATTCCACCAACTGCCCAGATTACAGGAACGGCCTGCAGATGAATAGTGGCTGGTGCGGTATCCTCCACACACATCCAGATGTGGCCAAGGTGTCCTGTAGGGGGGCTGTGGTCTTCCTGGGCACAGTCTGCAGACACCAGGACTTGATGTCCCTACGTTCTGGCAGGAGTGCTCCATGCTTCCCGGGGCATCTACTGTCTGCTCATGAAAAAGCCCGCCCGCCCTGCAAATATCCTTTCTGTCCAAAACAGGCTCGGAGAGTGACTGCTACTGGTGCAGGTTTCTTTCTGGGGTGACAAGCATGTCCTAAAACTGATTGTGGTGACGTAGCACAACTCTGAATCTATATTTTAAATGGGTGAATTGTATGGGTCTGAACTGTATCACAATAAAAATGTTATATAAACACACACACGTGCACAAAACCTGCCCAGAGCCCTGGGATGTGCAGAAGGACGATGGGGCCGGGGACGAAGCAACGTCTAGCCTCTCCCAGTGCCATTGAGTGGCAGCTGTCATCGATGGGCTACGGGCACAGCAAGCTGTGAAATGAAAAGCTGCTGCTCAACCAAGCTTGTTGCCCAGAGCCTGTGTCTGGCTCAGGCCACTCCCAGGTGGAGAGAGGGTGTTTCTCCGGAGAGTTTGGCGACGAGGACAAAGGGGCACGGACTTGCCAGGACCCAAGGACTTGTGTGTGGCTTCGCAGAGAGCTGGGGAGGTTCCAGAGAGGTTTCCTGGGTGCTCTTCAAGCTAAAAGTCTGAGGTGGCCAACTGCCTTTTCTATCAGAAAACCAGTGCCAGGGGCCTCCTAGACTCTGACAGGCAAGACAGGGACACGAAGAGGGAGAGGCGGAACTGGGAAGTGAGTGGACGTCTTATCTTGTCCCATGAACTCCCGTGGCACCTGCAGCCATCTCCTGTCCCCTCTGTGCTGGTGGCATCCAGACCAGGTGTGGCTTTCCCCAGCTGCACCTCCTGGGCATCACCTCATGCATTTCAACATTTACTTCCTACTGTTTACCTAGTGCTGGTCATGCTAGGAATAAAGGAAAAAGCCTTGTCCTTCACCATAACCTTTGAGGGACCCACAGGCCATTGTCTGAACCTGATTTACACCCAGAGCTGTAATGGGACTGCAAAGAGAAGAAGGGATGAGGAAGAGCCAGTCCCTGCTCTTATGATTTCTGTATTCTTGTCGGGAGGTTTTAAGGCCACTTAAACCCCCGTTAGGACAATGCAAATGGAAATCTCCATGACACACCAATTTTTACCTAATAAGTTGGGCAGAAATTTTAAAATTTGGTTTCAGGCGTTGGTGAGGGTTTGGGGAACCAAATTGTCTCCCCTACTGCTGATGGGAGTATAAATTGGGATTGAGATTTGGGGGGGCAACTTCTGAGCCAGTCATCCCGCTTCTTGGAGAAACAATGTCATCACACCAGGGACTTCCATGGGGGTGTCTTGGCAGCACCAAGAATAGTAGTGACAGTTGAGGAGCAACCATGTGGACTGTGGCAGAGTCACATCCTGAAATGCCATGTGACAGATCTATGGGTACCAGCCTGGGAATCCAGATGAGAAAGCCAGTTGCAGGATGATTTAGTTAAAAAGAAAGTCTAATCCAGCAGCTCACCCCCCAAGGCAGCAGGTCCTCGGGCTCCTCCTCCTTGTGAGCAGTGGTGCCCTGGACCCCATCTCCTCGCTTGGCCCCCACCCCAGTGAGAGAGAGAGAGAGAGAGAGCGAGAAAGATATGGCTTGATAACCTCCTATAGATGCCTCTGGTGTCCCAATCACTACACAGCCCCATCCTTGGGAGGAGGGAGCCCTCCTGCTCCCAGGCTGTGTTTGGCAAAGCACATCCCTGCCGCCCTGTGTTCCGTTATCTGAGCTCCCAGAGAGGGACCAGGAAGGGCCAGCAAAGATGCGAGAAAATCTCAGGGACTTTGAAGGGCAAAGGCGTTGGGTCCAGCATCCCTCCCCGGCTGTGGAGTGAGAACCCTGAGCCGGAGGGACACTGGGCTCTGACAACGGGGTCCCCACAGCTTCTGGACTGGGTGGGGTGGAGTCCAGGGCTGGATGCGGGCTTGCAGTGGACGGAGGAGCAGACTCGCCCAGGGTGTGGGCTCCCGGGAGCAGCTGCGGCTGGGGTGGTGTGAGGTGCTGCAAGTGCTGCTGGTAGCTGCAGCTCTGTGTCAAAGTGTTTATTCAGCAAATTTACTGAGCACCTGCTCCGAGCAGGTGCATCAACGAACCAGACAGACAGGAATCTTGCGCTTCTGGCGTTGACATCTGAGTGGGGAAGGGGGTTCAGGAAACAAAGGAAAAAACAGTAAGAATTTCAGACAGCGGTGAGCACCACGAGGAAGAGGCAGCAGGACCGTGTGATCCAGAGTGGGGCTGTCTGGCTGACTTGGATAAAAGGTCGGGGAAGGTCTTGGAGGAGGTGACAGACAGAACTTGAACTTGGACCAGGAAGCCTGTAGGCCAAGGCCTGGGAGCAGAGAGAAAGTACAAAAGGCCCTCCCCATCGGCCAGCGCGGCTTCCATGACAAAATACACAGACTGGGCGGCTCCAACAGCAGAAATCCATTTTCTCTCAATCCTGGAAGCTCCGCATCCGAGACCAGGGGGCCAGCCGGGCTGGTTTCTCCTGAGGCCTGTCCTTGGCTGGCGGACGGTCCCTGTGCCCTCCCGTGGCCTTTGCTCTGTGAGCACGCACACTCCTCGTGCGTCTCCTCTTCTTCTAAGGACACCAGTGCTATTGGATGGGGGCCCATCCTTATGACCTCATTCAGCCTTAGTGACCTCTTAAAAGACTCCCTCTCCTAATGTGGTCACATTGGGGGCTAGCGAGGGCTTCAGTCTGTGAGTTCTGGGGACACACAATTGAGTCCGTAACAGGTCCCGAGGTATCAGTGGTTCGAGGAGGAGGGGACAGGGAGGTGGTTATAGCCGTGCCGAGGTTAGGGCTGCGTGCTCAGGGTGCCTGGAAGCCTCTGTGGGTCTCCTGGCTCATCGATGTGTGGCTGAGTGTGGTTGTGCGTCTTCGTAGGACAGGGAGGAGGACAAAGTCCCCCGCCCACCACACACACAGGCTGGGAAGCTGGGAGGTGCCTGCCTTTCTCTCCCCGCCTGAGCTTTCCCTTCTCTTGTTCTCTCCGAGAATTAAAGGCTGGTGGGTGTCGCACCACTACGTGTCCACCTTCCTATCTGGAGTGATGCTGACCTGGTGAGTGTCTCCTGCCATGCCCCCCACGCCTCCGCTTGCCCTCCCCAGGGGGCCGTGAATGGGGACTAGTCGTGGGTGAGGGGCCCAGATGGCTTTCCAAGGCCCTGGCCCCGGCTGGGCTGACTTCGGGGCCAAGGAGAGTGTGAGCTTACAGCAGAGCCCCAGGGAGTTTTCCTGGAAATGTACCTCCTCCTGCTGGCTGGGGCAGAGGGGACAGGGAGCAAGGCTGGGGCAGAGGGGACAGGGAGCAAGGCTGGGGCAGAGGGGACAGGGAGCAAGGCTGGACAGCAGCACAAGGACAAGGCTGTGGCACCGAGGCGTCAAGCCCAGAGGGAGGGGAGACCTGTGGGAACTTAGGCTTCAAAACTACACGCGGGACACGGGTGCTAGAGAAGGGTAGACACTGGGATTTGGGTTTAAATGTAAAACCTTTTCTTTCTCCCAGCGGGAACAGGATGGGCGGGATGGATGTCTGATTCCCCAGGACCCCTCACCTTCTCCCCCACCTCTCTGCAGGCCCAATGGACTAATCTATCAGAAGTTTCGCAGTCAGTTTTTAGCGTTTTCCATATTTCAGAGTGAGTGTCTCTTGCCTACATTCAGGGGAGGGGGCACGGGGTTCCCTGTGGGTTCCCTGTGGAGGCCCCGTCCCTGGGAGGGGTGTGTCTTTCCTGGAGGGGAGAGGGCACTGGGGGAGGTCCCTGGAAATCCAAAGAGCTACCTGCCCCCCAGGTCAACTCCATCCTACCCCTCCACCCCCAGCCTCTAGCGATGGCCTGCCCCATTGCCCCCCTGGAGCCCCAGTCACTGCCTCTTTCTTCTCCCAACCAATCGCCACCTCTGAGAACCCACTGGTGTTGGGGCACTAACTTTGTTTTCCTTAAAATGGAAATATATGTTCTTTTTTCTCATTTAGGAACAGCCCTGGATTTATATACAATGCACTGCCCCAGGGGTCGGGGAGCTTGAATGGTTGGCGACAGGGAGAGCAAGTTTTCCTTTTCACCATAGACCTGTTTGTTACCTTTGAATTGTATACCGTGTGCATATTGCCCACTCAAAAAAATACAACTTAATTTTTAAATAAAACCCTGCTTACGAACAAGTCCAAATATATAAAGCTGAGAATGAAAATTATGTACTGTCTCGCCCTTGGGGTGACCACTGGTAATAGGTCTATGTCCTTTCTAACATTTTACTCACAAATACGTATATGCATATATACTGCATTATGTATAGTCCACCAACACGGGATCCCTCTGTACATACAGCTTTGCATGTAACCTGGGAAACAATTACCATGGGCTTTTTTCACCCTCAGTACAAGTATCCCATTGTATGGAACTGTCTCTTGTTGATCTGGCATTGCACACAGCTCCTAGCCTGGTGCAAGCCTCTTTTGAGTGCCTACTGCATGCCTAGGGAAGCTCTAGAAGTTTCTATTTGAGAGAGAGGGAGGGGTGTGGGTGGGAGAGGGCTGTACCCTCTGGTCTGTGAAGACCCACCCCTTTGCGGTGGAAGTGTCACTCAATCCTCCGCGTGCTGTGCTCCCCCTGCAGGCTGTGTCCAGTTCCTGCAATATTATTACCAGAGGGGCTGCCTCTACCGGCTGCGAGCTCTGGGGGAAAGGAATCATTTGGACCTCACTGTGGGTGAGTAGCCAGCCGACCTGGGGGGTGGAGGCACAAGTACTGGCCCCTGCCTGCTCCCCCAGATCTGACTCCTAACTCCCCACAGTGGGAGCATGTGCCGGTAAGGACATAACAGAACCTCCCACACATGAAGGCAGGGCTGCTGGCCTCTACCCAAGTTGCTTTTCATAATTCATTATGGATTCTGTTTTAGTGAAGTGTGAGACCAGCTGTGTACCCTCAGTGCTGGCTTCTCTCTTATCCTTTTAAAATGTCTATTTTTTGTCTGTGATTTATAATAAAAATATGCTATATATATGTTAGCCCACTGCTGTTGTACATATATAACCGATGTGTAATATGTCTGCATATAAATATATATCAACATATACATATATACACATTGGGAATGTGTGTGTAACTTTTAAAAATATTTTTTTTATTTATTTAAAATTTTTTATTTATTTCAGAGAGGAAGGGAAAGGGAGAGAATAGAAACATCAATGATGAGAATCATTGATTGGCTGCCTCCTGCACGAGCCCTCAGGATGTGCCCTGGCCAAGAATTGAACCGTGACCACCTGGTTCATAGGTCAGCACTCAGTTGCCGAGCCACCCCGGCCGGCGGTGTGTGTGTAACTTTTTATCTCATAGGGTTGGGTGCCCAATCAGAAAAGCTTGGAGACCTTTCATCTAAGCTCTCAGGGGAAACTATTTTTAATAAAACTCTGCTCTCTTAAGATGGTCATTTCTATTGAATTGCTCCACAAAGTAGGCCTTGCTTTGTCAAGACTCGATTGAAATGATGCATTTGAAAGTTCACTATAAAGTGCAAACTAAAGAAAGTTTTAAAAACAGTCCCTGGCACATCAGCGCTCCGTAAGTGTTGTCAAGCCCACTTGTCCTTGGTGACTTCAGGCTGAGCTGTCAGGCCTGGTGACGGGCGCTCTGCATGCTCTCTGGGTGGTTCTCATGGTGAGCGCTCCCGCACCTGTAAGAGCTGAGGGCTGTCCCCCCGCGCTGTCTGTCTGTGCCTAGCTAATCTAGGGGTGACTGGCACGGCCAAACAGTGGGCGCTTGGTGGGGCCGTGGGGGCAGCCGGGTCCCTCACACAGGCCTTCGCCCTCTCCCTCCTCCACAGAGGGATTCCAGTCCTGGATGTGGCGGGGCCTCACCTTCCTCCTGCCTTTCCTGTTCTTTGGCCATGTGAGTACCCTGGAGTCTGTGGGTGTCCCCTACTCTGGGGTGACCTCCAGGAACACAGTGTCTGTAGCCTCTCCCTCATGTCCCCATTCACCAGCCATCCCCGGGCTGGGCCTCATGGGTTCCCAGGCTATGGCAGGCCCTGGGTCCAGGGAGCCCAAAGGCAGGGCCCAGAACTGGCCCTCAAGCTACTCTGGCCTAGGGTGCCCCAGTTTCATTTGGGGGGTTTCAGTGTCTCAGGGCAGTGGCTACCAGAAGCTGGGGTCCTGGTGCCTCACCTGGGGGTTTCCCATGTGGTGTCCAGGGGAACTGGGACTGAGCAGTGCCCCCCCACCCCCCCTGCAGTTCTGGCAGCTCTACAATGCAGTCACGCTCTTCAAGCTTTCCAGCCACGAGGAATGCAGAGAATGGCAGGTATGGGTGTGTGTGTGTGTGTGTGTGTGTGTGTGTGTGTGTGTGTGTTCCTGGGGAACAGTGTGTATGTGGAGGGGCAGGGGGAGGTCCTGGGGAAGGCTGGGCCGACTTGGGGGAAATTATTTCCGTAGCCGCCTGCCCCCTTTGCTCTCCTCCATGAGGCCCAGACTCTGCTGCTGGACCTGGGAGCCCCTCAGGGGTGGCTCCCCATTGAACACTCCCCAGGGCCCGGCCTGACCCCAGGACTCAGGTCCTTCACCCAGTTGGCCCGGATGTCTGCCTTCTGCCTGCAAAACCTTGCAGTTGGTGGGTGGCTTGTGCTAAGGGTTCTGAGGTCTGGGGTGGGGTGGCACCCCAGCAGGGCGAGCTGGTCAGAGCTGGCACGGCCTGTTCCTCCTTCCCCTCTGCACTCTGTCCCGCCAGGTGTTCGTGTTGGCAATCACCTTCCTGGTCCTCTTCCTGGGCAACTTCCTGACCACCCTCAAAGTGGTGCACACCAAACTCCAGAAGAACAGGAACAAGGCGAAGACGCCGTGAGCCGCGGGGCTGCGCCCCCGAGCCCGGGACTTTGAGACTGCGGGGGTCTCAGTCGGCACCCTCGCTGCCGATTCCTCCTCAGCAGCGCCAGTGGCCACTGGCGCAGTGACCTCAGGGGCCAGTGGCCTCCCCAGGAGCAGGGCCAAGGCCCGAGTCCCCGACTGGACAAGAGAAATGTGACCCAGCCTGTCCGAGCAGTATTAGCCACCCTTCCTATTTATGACGTATTTAATGCCGCGCCCTCCCCACCTCCCTAGAATCGTAGCCCCCGCTGCTCTTGGCCGGACTGTCTTCCTGGGAGAGGCAATGCCTCAGGAAGCCCCTCTGTCCCCCGTCCTGGCACTTGAAGCCCTCAGGGCAGGGTGTGGACATGCCTCCTGAGGTTGGATGTGTGACCTGTTGCTTACAGAGTCCCAGGCGGAGGCGGGAGGAGGGCCCTGGGAGTCCGGTGGGGACTCCCTCCCCAGCACACGCTTCTGCTGTCGGCTCCCGCCTCCTCTCAGCCTCCGTTTCTCTGTGGGCGGGTATCTACCTTCTCAGAGAACCGCTGTTGTGCCTTGTGCTCCTTGTGCTTCCTGAGTCCCCTGACTGCCTGTCACCTGGGGAAAGTGGCCGGGCCGGCCTGAGGCCTGGGGTTCTTGGCCCCTGGAGCAGCTGGGCCCAAGGCAGGCAGGGTTTCTGAGTCACCACCAGAGGGCGCCCCAGCCTCGGCACCATGTGGGTGGTTTGAGGGCGTTACTTGACACTTCCTGACCCTCAACCCTCAGCCCATCTTCCCGAATCCTTGCAGTGGGCACTCAGAGTGAGACCCAGACCCTCAGCGCTGGCCGGGACTTCAGCCAGCACCAGTGTCACCCAGCCCTCCATCACCTCCCTTACTCAGAGGTTCTGGAAATTGGGGCGGGGGGTGTCTGAGCAACCTCACTTTCAGGAGGTCACACAGGGCAAGGCTGCTGGTCACCTCACGGTAGATTCTGAATTGGAGGGTGAAGAAGCCAACTTTCTGCCCCTTCTCCCACACCTGAGCCTCGTCTGCCCTTAACGACTTCCCTACAAATCCTCTTGGACCAGAGGGTATAGTTCGTGTCCACAGCTATGCTGTGGCCCTCAAAGGGGTTTAAAATTTTTTAAGTTAGTTACGTTTTTAAAATATGGAATCCACCCCCAGGAAGATTCCACAAAAAAATCCAGATCTTGACTTTCCCTAGATAAGTGGAAAGCCCTGGCTGCGTTCCCACAGAACAGCCCTCACCTGGGCTGGCTGCCTGCCCGGAGTGGTGCTTGCTTTCTAGTTTGCGGAGACCCCACCACTCCCTCCTATTTCCGCCCTCCTTCACTCTCCACGCCGCCCATCTGGCCCTTTAAGAACTTGGGTTTGCCCTAGACTCTCGTTGGCAACCTTTTCCTGTGACGGGCCAGATGGTCTCAGTCACAATGACTTTAGCCTGCAGTTGGGCAAAAGCAGCCCACGCATAAATGAATGGGCATGACTGTGTTCCAATAAAACTTTATTTACAAAAACACACAGCGGCCGGAGTTGGCTCACAGGCCATAGTTTGCTGACCTCTGTTCTAGACCCTCATTTGTCCACGAGGCCCTGGACTCTGCTGGAACCAGAGGTCCTTGGTCTGAACGCTCTGGTGAGTCCCCTGGAGGGGCCTCCGGGAACCTAGGTGGGGTGCGGTGGGCTGAGAGGTCTTGCCCTAGCAGGTGACTTCAGAGAAGCTCAGGCTTAGGCACAGCACTGGGCACAGGGTGCGGAGGCAGAGATACCCGGGGAGCAGGAGCCACCTGGAGCCATCACCCCACCTTCGGTAGCACTGACTCCAGAGTGAGCTCAGGACCAAGCAGCTGTCAGTCTCTGGGGTACTGGAATCCCCTGGGGCACTTTAAACAAATTCCTGGGTCCCTGAACCCAGACCTTCCAGAAGGAAGTTCCGTGAATCTGCGGCTGGGGGGTCGGTCAGTCAAGTCCGATCTTGAAGGAGGCCAGGGTGGCCTCGGCTCTGGAACACATCCCCCAGCAGTGGGGGCTGTGAGGGGCAGGGGGGCTAGACGACTCCTTTGCAGACAGGGACACAGTCTCAGGACTGGCCTGCCCAAGGTCAGGAGCTGCTGTCACTTCATCTGAGTTTCCGGCAGTGGGGGCTGCAGGTGAGGAGACCCCGGGCAGGGGTCGGATGGGTGGTCCACGGTGTTTGCTCTGCTTTCTGAGTCTCTTCTCCCCCTGGTCATGTGCACCCAGATCTGGGCAGATGTCGGCCAGGCCAAAGGCTGCCACTGAAGTCCTCTGCGTAGGGTGGGTGGGGGCGATGCAATTCCTGTGTCCGTGTCCGGGGCTGCGTTCTGATAGGCCTGGTCCCATCGTGGCTCGGTGCTCCCGGGGGGAAGGAAGCGAGACCGGAGGATGCAGCCCTGCCTATCTCCCCAGCCCAGGGCCCTGGGGCCATAGGCTTGGGGGCCGTGGGGCGCTGCCAGATCCACAGTGGCCCACGGACCAGTGTAGTTGGTTGTTTCAAGCACAGGCTTTGAGGACCTACTGGGTGTTTGAAGGGGGACATGTGGCTGGGGGGAGAGTGCAAAGAGGGCACTCCAGAGTCCTGGGGACAAATGCCAGTTCCAGGGCACAGAGGGCCCGAGTCCGCACCCTCGCCCACCACCACACAGGCCACCGCTCGAGTTCCTGGTCAGAGCTCAGGTGGGAAAGGAGAAAGTTCCAGACCATCCAAAGAGTCTTGCCACAGGCTCCAGACACAACTCGAGTGCCCTTCGCGAGCTGGGGGTGGGCCCTGTCAGTCCTGTTCTGTTGTGAGGGCTGAGTGCCCGCCCGAGGGGTCAGAGCAGCAGGCACCGGCGGGGGTGTTTCTGCCGCTGCGCTTTCTTCAGGGCGCTGAGGGCCACCTTGGCGGCCTCTCGGAAGACGTCCTCCACGTTCTCCCGAAACTTGGCAGAACATTCCAGGTAGAGGGCGGCTTGCATTTGCTGGCAGGTGTTCAGGCCCTGGGGGAGGAGAGGACAGCATTCGATGCGGGGCCTGGAGCATGGGGTGCCTCCTGACACCCCCTGGTGGGCTTGGGGCTGGCTTTAGGGGCTGCGAGGCCTTGGTGTGGGGCCCCTCTTGCTCCCTCCCAACCTCTCTCCCCACCCTCCTTCCCAACTCAGGCAGAAACAGGGGGGAGGGGGGGTGAATTCTGAGAACGGGGTTGTCTGTCGTGTCTGCCAGGCCTGTGAGGAGAGGTGGGCTTCCTCCCCAGACCTCTCTCCCTTCTGGAAAGCACCGTTTAGGCAATGGAGCTTGTCATTAGAATTAAAAATATCTATTTCTAAAACATTTACTTTTATTCATGCTTATTCCCTGTTACTAAACCTTATTAGATTTGCTTCATGTTCCCTTCATCCTCCCATGCCTCAGGAAGCCACGGGACTCTCACGAGTTGGGGGAAGGCTGCTTTTGAACAAGGGCCCGCCCCTGGGGTCCCCTCGGGAGACGGGACAGGATGATGGCTAAGGGCCCAGACTCTGGAGCCATGGTGACTGGGACGGCATCCTCGCTTCACTTCACGTTAGCTGTGTGACCCTGGGCAAGCTCCTTAACCTCTCTGGGTCTCAATTTATCTCCCCATAAAATGGGGAGCACTAACAGTATCTGCCTCGGGGTCATAGGATTAAATAAAGTGCTCAGAGATGTGGGCTCTCAATATTCTACAGCTATTATTCTCAGAATCCTGTTTGCTTCCACTGTGCGAAGGGCCAGAGGCACCCTGTTAGAGAGGCCAAAGGCCTGGGCGTCTTTTTAGCCACAGCTGTGCCGCGGACCTGGGCTCCTGGTGGGGAAGGGGAGGGAGGGGCCCCGAGCCCACCTGCATGTAGGTGATGGGCTCCAGCTGGGCCGCCCGCAGCTTCCGCAGCTGCTCCTTGTCCTTCCTCAGGTCCGTCTTGCAGCCAATGAGCACCATGGGGGTCCCACGGCAGAAATGCGTGACCTCGGGGAACCACTGTGGAGGGAGAGGCTGGGCATCAGGGCTGGGGCTGGGGCTGGATCCGAGGCCCCCACCCGGGGGGGCAGGCCTCACCTTGATGAGGACGTTGTCATAGCTGGTGGGGTTCATGACGTCATAGCAGAGAGCACCAGGTGGGGTGTTCTGGTAGGAGAGGGGCCGCAGCCGGTCGTAGTCTTCCTGCCCTGAAACCAACCGGAGAGCAGGTGGGGGTCAGGGAGGCGCCCCTCCTTGTCCACCTGAGTCCCTGGTCTGGGCTCAGAAGGGCCAGGGGTTTGGGGGTCTGCCGGACAAGTGACACCTGCTTGGGCTTCAGTTTTGTCCTGTGGAAAACAGGTGGCCGCCCGCTGTCCTGGACGGCAGCGAGGATGGCATGAGAGAAAACCCAGCAGTAAGTGCTGAAAAGCCACGAGCAATTACTCTGGAGACGGTCACCCCACCCCCAATCCTCTTACCCCCCTACCCTGTGCTCAGGTTGAAGTCACATCACCCTCCCCCAAAACAAAGTTAGAAGAGGGTGCCCCCCAAGCCCGGAGGTGCGTGGCCTCAGGTGAAATTCATCCTGCCATTCTGGCCACTGCTAGGAAGAGTGGGGACTAGGAAGAGTGGGGGCGGCTGGAAATAGCAAGTTTCTCACCTGAACCCTCTCCCCCACCCCCCAGGGCACATCAGACTCACCCCCAGGCTGGGCTGGAGCAGTGGTGGGTTTGTTCGTTTGTTTTATTATATATATATTTTATTGATATTTTACAGAGAGGAAGGGAGAGGGATAGTTAGAAACATCGATGAGAGAGAAACATCGATCAGCTGCCTCCTGCACACCCCCTATGGGGATGTGCCCGCAACCAAGGTACAAGCCCTTGACTGGAATCGAACCTGGGACCTTTCAGTCCACAGGCCGACACTCTATCCACTGAGCCAAACTGGTCATGGCTGTTTTAATATATTTTTTTTTATTTTATAGATCAGTGGTTCTCAACCTTGGCTGCACATTAGAATCACCTGGGAATCTTTTTAAAATCCTGATTTCTGGGCCTCATCCTCCGGAAATTCTGTTTCTTTGTTACTAATGTTGTGGCCCCACCCCATAACAAAGAAACAGAATTTCCGGAGGATGAGGCCCAGAAATCAGGATTTTAAAAAGATTCCCAGGTGATTCTAATGTGCAGCCAAGGTTGAGAACTATTATAGGGAAGGGAGAGAGAAACATCAATGATGAGTCATTGATCGGCTGCCTCCTGCATACTCCACACTGGGATCTAGCCGGCAACCTGGGCATGTGCCCCAACCCAGCCTTGAACTGTGACCTCCTGGCCAACCATGACAGTTGGGCGGGTTTGGTTTTTTCTTTTTTTAATTTGTATTTAAAACTTACAGAAAAATGGCAAAAAACAGTGCCAAGAATGCCCTTACTCAGATGCACTGTTTACGTTTGGCCCCACTTCGTATCTACAGGGAAACACCTTGAACCACGCGAGGGGCAGGTGCACATATTGGGCTCCTGCGCCCGGGAATAGTTAGTTCCCTGCGGATTTTCTAAGGACATTCAGAGAACACGGGATGCACTCTCACCGGCCACAGTGCGTCTACCAAACTCGGGAAAGCCGCGGCCAAGCTGTGCTCCAGCCGATCCACTGGCCATGCGCAGCTTTTCCCAAATGTCCTCCAGGACTTCCCCTAGTCCAGAGGCCGTGGTGCCTGTACGTCCTGCACGGAGCTGTTATACCCGGCATCTTGGGAAAACTCCCACAGCGAGGGCTGGGAGCCTTTCAGACTCATTGGCAACCCCCAGCCACCCTGCAGAAAGGCAAGGTGACTTCCTTCCATTGAACAGGACAGGAGGCCAGGCCTGGGAATCCTCCGCCGGCCCCTCCCTCCAGCCGGCGGGGACCCCAGCTCCCTCCCTGCCAAAGGCCTCTCAAGACAAGTGGCCTCTTCACCGAGCACAGACCACGTCCTGCTTCTGGCCTCCTACTGATGACAGGGCACAGCCACCCTCTTCCCACCGACTCCCTCCACTGTGCAGTGAATGGTTGCCACAGTTTTGACAACGGCTGGGCCAGGAGGACTGTCCGTGCTGTCACTCAGCCGAAGTCCCCCAACACTGGAGAAGGGGGGAGGGGTAGGCAGGGCCCAAGCACTCAGACCACCCCCCCCCCC